AGTGACTGTAGTTCATCAGCCCCTGAAACACTGGGGCTCTGTGCTTTCCTTCCTATGAAAAAGAACTGGCCTTCCCCTCAAGGCAAAAAGGGGTGAAATTGGGATTCAGCATTCAAAACTTCAAACATCCAAGGGTTGCTCCCAGACAAACCTGCCAGGACAGACAGGTCTGCCTGGCCTTGGCCTCTAGTGACTGCAGTTCATCAGTGGTCAGTGGTCAGTCAGTTCCATTGACTGGAGGCAGCTCTGGATGCTTCGCTTAGAGCATCTCCAGGGATGGAACACTGGGGCTGTCACCACTGGGGCGTCACAGAAAGGGGAACATGAGGGCTGGGAGGCTTTCTTTCTGTGAAGACCAGTGTGACACTGTGGGGCCTCATGGAACCAAGGACATCGGTTGGGCTGCATGGTCCCAAGGGGCCAGTGTAAAGCAGTGGTGCTTTGTGGAACCAAAAGGCCATTGCTGCATTTCAGGGCCTCATGGAGCCGAAGGGCTGTTGTGATCCTGCGGGGCAGCGTGGATCCATGGAGAACACTGTGGCATTGCAAGGCCCCATGGAATCATGGAGACCATTGTGACACTGTGGGGCCCCACAAAACCAAAGGACCACTGTGACCCTGCTGGGCCTCATGGAAGCACCGGGCCATGGTGACACTGCAGAAACAAGGTGAACATTGTGATACAGCAGAGCACCATGAAACCAAGGCAACATGGAACAGGTCTGGCTGGCTTTGCCTCCCAGGGGCCACCTGACAGGTCCAGCTGATCGTGGAATGTTAAGGGCTGCCTCTCATCAGCCCCTGGAGAACTGAGGCTCCATGCTTTCCTTCCTATGAAAAAGAACCATCCCTCTTTCCAGGTGCCCACAGCCAAAACTCATACTACCCCTGAAAATTTCTCCATATGCGAGGGTTCTTCCACACAAAAGATGCCAGGACAAAGATCTCTGGCTGGCCTTGGCCTCTGGTGGTCACCTGTCATCTCAAGGAAGCTCTGAGGAAAGTATTTGAAAAGGTTTGGCTGTTGGAACATCAATGAGTCTCTGATCTTCTGAAAAACTCAGATGCTTTTTAAATCATATGTGGTTTTTTTTCTCAGTGTATTATACATGAAATGTTATTTTCAGCTAAAAAATATTATTCTTACCACTCTACCAATATTATCTGACACAAAACTCCTCTGCTAATGGATCCCTGTCACCTATACAAGCAAACACAATAAAAATCCAGCAGGAATTATTTGTGTCTGCTCCCATCTGTCACATCTCCTCTGGAGCTGAAGGTGCAGCCCCAGCACTTGGGAGGGCTCAGGGGTCACAACCTCAGCTCCTACACAGAGAACTTGCAGACCCTGGGCTGCTCTTCTTGGCCCCTACATGCTCAGCCAGGCTGAGATGGACACTTATGGTTTCTGGGCCAGGCTCTCTGAGCCCAGCCCAGCTCCCTGCAAGCTCTGCCAGCTGCCCTGAGCTCTGGGCAGCACCAAGGGCCTCTCCCCAGCCCAGCCCAGCCGGCTCTGGCCCCACAGCTCTGCTCAGGCCAGGCTGCTCTGGGCACTGCCCCACGGCCTCAGCACCTGGCAAGGGCACAGCAGCAGCTGCAGCTGCCACAGGACTCAGCCCCAGCCATGGGGGAAGGTGCTTGGCCAAGGCCAAAGGAGGCTCCCTGGCTGCCCTGCTGCCCTCAGGCTGAAGTGCTGAGAGCTCTGCAGCCCCTGCTGCCATCCCATCTGCCCAGGGCAGCACAAGAGCCCCGGCCATGGGGCCCTCAAGAGCTGCTCCTGCTCCAGGCCCAGGGTCCATCCCAAAGCTGGGGCAGCCACAAAGCTGTGCCCATTTCTGTTCATTGCTGCTCTGATGGGGATGGATCCTCAGCTGCTAGGAAGTTGCTGGTGAATTTTCCTATTCCAGAGGCCTCTTCTTTCTTGAGCTCTTCAGTGCAGGATTTCATTGAAAGAGCTCATAAAATTTTGCTTTAAATGCCCAAACAAAAAATGCCATTGGGAATAATTCAAATTTTCAATTTTTCTGTGGCTAATTAGACAGATTTTAGAAGTGTATTCGAAGTGAATATACTAGATTTTAAAAAATGCAAAGACAACTGTTTTATCCAGCTTTTTTTCCTCTTTATTGATTGATGTCAGCAATCCCCAGTTGATACTGATCCCCAGCACCTTCTAATTCAGTTTTAATCAATATAAGAAACAATGCCCTTCATGGCTGACAATCAATCAAACTTTGTCCTCACCCTTTCCCCACCATTTCCCTCATCCAAATCCTGGCACTCCTATGGATCACGAATGTTTCAGCCAGCAGGAGTATGGCAATGATTCTTCCCCTGTGCTCGGCACTGGTTGGGCAGCACCTCGTGCTGTGTTCAGTTCTGCGGCCCCCAATTTAGGAAGGAACACGGAGGGGCTGGAGCATGTCCAGAGAGGGGCAACAAGGCTGATGAGGGGTCTGGAACACAAGCCCTGTGAGGAGTGGCTGAGGGAGCTGGGGTTCTTTATCCTGGAGAAGAGGAGATGTCCTGGGTTGACTATATGATGCTTTTATCCCCAATCGTCTTGTTCTGTTTATGTTGAATAATAATAAGTTTTGTACCTTTAAGAGTGTTCCAGAGAGTGAAGGGGGAGAGAGAAGAAGCGCGCAGTTTGTTTTCAGACACTGCACTCACTCCTCCACATTCCTGCTCCTGACCCATATTCCTGTTCCTGACTCTGTTGTCTGCGGACAGACAGCGGGGCAGAGAGCTCTTCTTTTGCTTTTTACTTAGCTAGCTGAGACAAAGAAGTTCCCTGGACTGCTTTTTTTTTTCCTTTTCTTTGGCCCTCTTGAAACTGCTCTGTATTGAACACCCAGGAGAGCACCGGCAGCTGCACCTGTGGCCCACCGGGCCAGGCCTGGCCTGCGGCAATTCCAGCACCTGAGGGACTGATCAGAGACTGTGAGCTGACCTTCAACCCGGGGTTTTCTCAGTTTGTCATCTCTTTTAGAGTGGCAAGGGGTCTCATTGTTTTGATATTGTTTTGGTTTTATTGTTTAATAAACAGGTTTTTTCCACATTTCTCCAAGGAGGTATTTTTTCCCTCCCGGACCAGCTGGGGGATGGGGCCGATTGGATCTGCTTTTCCCACCGGAGTTCCTTTGGGGGATTCTTCCCCAAAGTTGCTCTGTACCTGGACAGGAGGCTGAGGGGATGCAAGGCGGTAGCAGGACAGAGGTTGGACTTGATGATCTCTGAGGCCTTTCCTGACCTTGCTGATTCTGGGATTCTCTGAAACCACCCTTGGAGCAGTTGCAGGATGAGCCCTGGGCCTCCTCTTCAGCAGCTCCAGCAGCCCAGGTCCCTCAGCTTCTCCTGCCAGCCCCAAAGCCCATCCTGTCAGTCCTGCAGAGCCTCTG